TTTTTATAAAACTTTAATAGGCTTGTTCTGAAAATCCATTGCAGGAAGGTTATCCAGGTCACTCTCTTGATTTGTTTATCCCTTTTAATTATTAAAACATCACCTAGTCTCTTTGTATGTCCAGTGTAGCATCTTTTTCTGTATCATTTTTGTAGCTTGTCATTTTTAAATCCACTTTCAGATCAGCTTCAGCCTTGCCCAGTAGAACCCGTTCCTTTCCATAACATCTTTTAAACATAGTCTATATATAGAGGAACATACTTTTGGAATTGATTTCTGTGTCCACTGTTCAAGAATATTCTTCAATAATGTCAAATGTTAAAATATTTCGCTCCATTCTGTGTAACTCAAATTTAAGTGTTCTTCTCATTGAATTCTATCTTTAGTTCCCTTTAGTTTCCCCCAATAAGTATCTTCAACTTATGATCTGTAGTTTAATGACCATTTGAAGTTACATCTTAAAAAAGGTCTTTTATGCCCTGGAAAGCACTTCCAACTATTGGAATGTCACCTCACTCCCCCCCAGCCCCCATACAGATGGACATGAGATACAGGTAGGAGGAGAACTTCTCTAAGCCAAATATGTACCTTAAGGGTAGGATCTCCATTGGTAGCCTAAATTTACACTAATCCCAGATCTCTTGTGAGAATTTTTTCTCCATTGACACTTCAAGATACTGTTTAAAATGGCAAATAAACCTGACTGAGATTCTTAAACTAATAATCATCAGTTGTTTTCCCAACTTTGTATTATGCTTGAGATTTCTTGCTTGATTCAGAATTAAGCTCAACTGAAACATTTTCCTGAAGGAAAAAAAAAAGTCAGATTTAAATTTAATAAACCCTTATAATGAGTTAAGTATTTTCTCAGATACATTTCTTTCAGTTAAGCAGTTTGCTTTAATGCTTCTACAATCAATGTATGTATGTATGTATGTATGTATGTATGTATGTATGTATGTATGTATGTATGTATGTATGTATGTATGTCAGTCAAATTCAGGTCAGATATTATGAAATTATACAGCTATTTACAAACCAAAATGTTTTCACAATAAACCAAGCCAGTGAGCACATCTGCATTGCTTCATGGAAGCCTCTGATACAGAGATACCTTGGACCCTTAGCCTAATTTCTAAAGCCCGGACCAGCCTACTGAACAGGGAAGGAAGAAAAATGAGAGTAATCCCAGAGCCTCTGGACTTGCTGCTTCAGCCCCAGTCGCTTTGACTATCATTATTCGTGACTGCCTCTGGAATATTATTTCGGACAGCACTTGTTTAATTCCATTAAACTGTAATTCCATTACAGTGCTTTGGACCCTGGATGAGTGGGGGTGCTCACAGTGTGTAGGAAGGCCCTCTGCTCCCCTCAACCGCCCCGGACCTTTTGGACCTTC